ATCCAAAGCAACTTAGTCAGGAGTTAAACAAACATATGCTTTCTTTGTTCCATCAGACCTGATCAAAGTGTTCACTTTCTTGGTCAGTATAAACATTTCAAATTTCTTTGTGATCATCAAAACCAAGAATAACATTCTCCCCCTTTTTGATGATGACAAAACAAATGTTTGAAATGAGGTTTGATGATTGGAATAAAATCACCCCCTTTCACAATAGACAAGAACTCCCCCTTACTTAGTGAATCATAAACAATTTTGAAAAACTCCCCCTCACTTGGCTCCCCCTCAATCCATCAGCCAACCCAAATTTAATATCAATCCAATATCAATCAATCATCAATATCAATCCATAAACCCAATCATCAATATCAATCCATAAATCCAGCCATCTCCCCCTTTTTGTCATCAAAAAAGGGTAATCAATCACATCCATCACATACACAAACACATTCATCAATGCAAACCAAATTCATTACACCAAAATACTTAAACATCCATAAACACAGTCATCATTCAAAATACTTAACATAAACATACAATACCAACAAAACAAAAAAAAACATAAAATATCCATTACATTACATATTCATTGTTGAATACCACAATCACATAAACAAAACAAACACAATGCAAATGTCCTAAGTGATGAACTAATTGGATCCAGGTGTCCTTCGAGAAAGCTGATATTGAGAGAGGTCTTCCTCATCAGTTTCTTCATCATCTTCAGCAGCTTCTTCAATTGGTGCCTTGCCTTTGTCTGATGTGGAAGGGCCATGAGGAGTCACAGGAGTTGATAAATTCGGATCTGGAACTGATGAACCTGGATCAGTGGTGCGAGGTTCTTTGTCATGTGAGACTTCCTCAACCACAGGGGGGGAAACAGGAGATTCTTTTTATCTAGGAAGGCAGTTTGTTGCTCAGAGGACATAGTGAGCATTAGACCATGTTCTAGAAGAAGAACATGCTGTTTGAGTTCACGAAAAAATTAGCAATCAAAATGATTATCAGCAGTAGGGAGCTCTTCATAGGAAAAGAAATTAGCAATTTTATCTTTGCATAAACGTTCAATGGTAGTATTTAAAATGGAATTTACAATATCAGAATCAAAGAGTATGTCTACCCCATTAACCCTGGACATGATCTCAGTTTGGTCAGTGCCTTTCCTAAGATTGGCAAAAAATTGATGCAGCATGTCAGGATAATAGACATTTGGCATAGAAATGAGATGTGACCATTTCTGAAAAGCAAATAGGCTCAGAATGGATTCTAAACCAATGGACCGAAATTCAGAAGGGTTTACAGTTCGTTGAGGGATGACACCTTTCTGGGATATCCAGGAGTATTTGTCTTTCGCAGCATCATCAAAGAATGGAGGGAGTGGGGCTGATTTAGGAGGCGGTTGAGAAGATGTCCCCTGTCCAGATTCTGGTTGAGAAGTGGGTTGTGGAGAAGGCCGTGACATTTGACCCTTTATGGCTCCTCTCTTGAAGCGCTTGGATGAACGTTTGACCGTAGGAAGATCCTCATCCTCATCCCTGAGTGGAAGCTTGCGTCCGGCAGTAACCTTTCCTCCTCTAAGATTCACCATTGTGCGAAATGTGTGGAATGTAGGATGCAAATGGTGCACACAGCAGTAGGGAAGTGAATCGTACAGAAATTTTAGGACAAAAACACCTTGAACAAGATTTGACAGAGTGGTTATGAAAGAGTAGGGTTTTGAGAGAAATTTGGGAATTTGCGAAATGTTATTCAGTTCGGTGAAATGATCAGGAGAAATGAAACGCAAACGATGAGGAAATGTTTTGGTTGAGTCAATTTTGGAATGGGAGCTTCAAAATGGTATGAATTTGAGAGTGAGGGAAGAGAAAGTTTTCGTCCGAGAGGAAATAGAATAGGAAGAGACTAAAGCAAATGAGGAAGAAAGTTGTTTTAAAAAATGAGCCGTTGCACTGTCGGACGGCCGAACGAAGTTGTGCGTCCGACAGCTGCGTCCGAACAGGCGCAATCTGGAAAATGACTGAAGAACATCATCGGACGTCCGTTCATCCTATTTCGGACGTCCGAAGGCAATGAAAAATTTAGGATGATTTTTCGATTATTCCTAATTTTGATCTTAGATGCATGAACTGATCTAATGGCAAAACTTTTGTAAAAATATCAGCAAATTGATCTTTAGAACAAACATAATTTACACAAATTTCACCTTTTTGAACAAGATCACGAATAAAGTGGTGCTTTATATCTATATGCTTTTTAATGGTACTACACCGTCTTTTGGTCTTTTAAGAATCTAAAAACAAGGCATCTTTTTCAGAGTTTCCGGTTGTTTGGATTTAATTTAGGGTTGGTTGCTGAAATCTCTACTTTCCTATTTCTCTTTCGTCTTATGCTAGCAATATGAGAGAGCTAAAGACTGTAAGAGCTGCTAAAGAACGTATGAAGAAGTTTTAAGGTTTATTTTGGAACTTTTATTTACAGGATGAAGGTACCTCGTTCCCAACATCGGTTTGGGACGTATGTTTTTATAGACTTCTTGTGCAAACTATACGGACTTGAAATTTTTTACTCAAAGTCCGTGGAAATGACATGTTAATTTTACGGACTTAAGACCTACTGAAATCCGTAACTATAGATTCTAAAAACATCAAATCAATATGGTCAGGCTATACAATGTGGCCGACAACTAATAAAAGCTTTATCAGCTTTATGACCGATCTATACAATATGGTCAAAATAGCTTTACAAAATGGCCAAAAAATGTCGAATCATGTTTGCAAAAAATTATCCTTCCATCATATTTTCGATGTTGCTCATTTCTTCTGGTCCCATTGTTTCCCAATAATGATCATCATTATATTCTTCATCTGCTTCGATATCCAAATGCTTTGCTCCTGTGCTCATATAATATCCTTCCAAATATTTTTCAAAAACTTCTGGATAATTGGTACTTATAGTGAAATTTTTTTCTAACTTAAACCTGTATGGGACATTGCCATCTATATTCCATTCATATATTGAGTCTCCATTGTATTTAGTAGTACGAAATTTTGATCTTTCTTCATATTGAATATCTGGAGGGTTAGGTCTTGGATAATAATTCTTTGTACTTACCATTTTTCAATCTTTATTATTGTTGTTATAAATTCTTTTTCTCCTTATTTTGTTTATTTGATTATCTTCTTTTTCTTCAAATTGGATTTCTATATTTTCTATATCAGAATCTATTGAATCTTCTGATGAATTGTCTGTTTTTTCTAAAGAATTGTCTTTTATTATTTGATCTAAAGTATTTATTCTAGAGGTTGAAGGTTTTACTTCTGTAGTTAAGTTTTGTAATGCTTGAGATATCTTATTTAATATATTATCTGTATTATTAATTTTTTGACTATTAATATTTTGTATTAAATCTTGTTCTTTTTCTTTTGTTAAACTTCTAGGTTGAAAATGAGGTGTTGAAATGTCATTAGGGAATTTTAAATTTGGTTTCTTTATGGTATCTATTTTTGTGTTTAATACTTCCATATGTTGAGAAATTGTATGAATAATTTGATTTGTATAATTATTTTGTTGATAAATTTTCTTAATATCTTCTAAATTTATTGTATTGTTTGTACTTGATTCAGATTCTCTACCCTTTTTAAAAGGTGAGACTATTATATCTTCTTGTCCTATATTTTTTTTTATTTCTTGTAATGGAGGATGTATTGATGTTACTATTTGATCATTTTTTAATTTCCATTTTTTATATAAATTGGTTTGAATATTTATTTGTGGTGTATTATAAACATCATTTATTTTTATTTTTGAGATATAGAATGATAACCAAGTAAAGAAAGGGAAATCAAATTTTTGTTTTTCTAATTCTTTCTTCCATTCTAAGATTAATTTTTCTTTATATTCAGATTCTAATTAAAAAGATCAAATTCTTTTTTCAGTATTTTCTTCATCATCAAAATCTTCTTGTAAATATTTATGATTTATTTATAACATTTATTTCTCCTTTCATTTGTGAATGTGTTGGGGAATATTCTGATTGATTTTGATTTATAACTTCTGGAACAGGAATTTTATATTTAAAAGTTGAATTACTTTCTAAAGGAAAGTTAATTTCAGTTGATTCATAATTAGAATGTCTAGGTGGTAATCAAGAATAAGTTGAATTAGATCTTTCTCTTATTGAGGAAAATCTTATTAGAGTTTTACCATCAGGTTTTTCTATTATATCTTCTGCAGTAGTTTGTTCTATATTTCTAGCTATTTGTGGATTTTGTATCTCAAATTCACTAGGTATAGTTACTTCATTCCATTTTAATCTTTTTGGAGTATAAGTAGTAGGTCTATCAGCATCTACTTGTAATAAAGTTGTTTCTTCTTTAAGAGTTGGAGTCATTATAAATTTAGGATTTAAATGTGAAGACAATGGTCTATAATATATTCTATATATTACTGCAAAATTCCTTGTATGTCTTTCAAATTCATTTCCTTATAGATGAATATCTAAAATGACTGAATTCAGAATATGTGGGTCTGTTAGATCTATTGAAAAATTTGGAGCTCAGTTAAAATATATGGGTCCATTACAAACATTTGTTTGAATCATGAAAATAAAGAAGTTTTATATCTTTTGAGTCTAGTATTTCTTAATGCTAGATAAATTGGAGCATCGACTCCTAGATGGAATAAAGGTTTTACTACAATTTGTATTAAACCTATATGAATATATCGATATCCTTTACTTAAATATTTTTGAATTGTACTATGATTTAATAATGGAATTGATTGATATTCTTCTTGAATGGATATTGTTTCTTCATGAGTTTTAACTGATAATGCTGTTTTGAAATCTAAAGGGCCTATTCTGTATATATGCTCTATTTTTTCTTCTGGAATAGTCCAATCTGAATTTACAGGCATATGATATTCATGACTTTGTACTATATTGTCTTGCTTTGAATTATATCCTATTTTTAATTGTCTAAGAAATGCAGCCATGTTTGTATATTTAATTAAAGTTTTACCTAATCAGGAACAACTGAGCACTATGCCGGGAACATCCTACCCTGGACTTACCAACGGTCTAACAAGGTATCAAAGTCTTACCAATGATTTCAGTAAAAGTTTAATAAAATATGTAAACATAAATGTATGAATTAGCCAAGTCAAAATAGAAACGTAATTCAAATAAAGAAATAGTAGTTCAAAATCTTAAATATGCATTTGCATGTAAGTCTGTGTGGCTCTGATACCACTTCCACTCAGGCTACTGAATTTATTGAATAGTTCATAAAAATTCAGTATAAAATTGGACTTACAAATAATTAGGAAAGTCTTTGTCAACGGAAGCTTGTAGAAATTGTTGAATCCTTGCTACTTCTTTATTGATGTTTTGAAAAGGTTACAAGAAGCTTGAGTACAAGAGTAGGTATAGGAAGTTTGGGATTTTGCTAAGGAATTTTCTATAGAGCAAAGTTTTTTGTTCTGCTAATTCCCTGATGCCTTTGCTATCTGAGATTGAATCTATTTATAGACTCTTCCAGTCTGTACATTTCATCTGCATTTGAATTTCATTTGCTTTCTTTGCAATGTGGCCGACATCTTTGAGTAAGTGGTTGATATCTTTTTCAAAAGTAATTTGGGTCTTGTCCGCATGGTCCACCAAACGGATCAAAATTTGATTCGGATGATCCTGCTGACTCTTCAATTTTGTCGGTTTCTTCATCTTTATCTTGCTTTTGTAAATAATCTAAATATTCTCTGAGCATCTCGAAATTTTGCATCATCTTTTTCATCAAAAAGTCGTTTGTAGTGGTCTCGGATGCTATACTGGTAACTTTTTCTTTATCTCTTCTTTTTGGAGTGGTTGGAGTTGGTGGCATGTTTGTTGGAGTAGGTGACATAGTTGTTGGCTATTTTGTCCACTTGAACTTGTCCCCAGTTGTTAGGAATCTTATCACATTTGCTTGGTCTCCATATTCTTGATTGAATCCTGTCCACCATTTAATCTTGAATTCTCTGACTAGTGACATTGGAAGTGGTTTTTTTAGATCTTGATGAATTTTGAAGTTTCAGCAAAATATCCATGGTATTTTGAACTCCATATGAAATAATATTGGTCTTGTATATTCCTCCCCCTTGCTTTTTTGAGATAGGTTTGAAATCCCATCAGAACATTTGGAGGTAGGATTTCGGGTTGAGGATCAAACCATTTCCACCAGTGGTTGAATCAAATTGGAAATTCTTTGCTGCAACTTTCTTTGAATGTAAAAAATCATGAATGATTGAATGGTCTATACAAAAAAGCACGATACCATGCCATTTTGTAGTCTTGATAGGTAAATCCATCTGGAATAAATCTGACTGAGAAGGATTTCTTTGAATAAAGAGAAGTCCATTCATTGAGAGAACAAACTTTCTTTATTATACACTTTGAGTGGCTAATAATATTGGGATTCTTTTTATCTGGAATAGGGAATATTTCTACAGATTGGGTATCTGTAAGAATTAATTCATAATAATCCAAATTTTTTGAGGGATCATCTGGTTGCCAATAACATTTTTGAGAAAAGATTCTTTGAACAGTCTGGTTGAGTGTTGAATATAATGGGGTTTCTTGGAATCTAGTCAAAGTTATATGTTGAGTAAATGGTTTTGTAAAATAGGTATTTTCATTGGATTTTTCAATAGGTTTTTGAGTTTGTTGAAGGAGTCTTATTGGAGGGAAAGTTGGAGTACGAGTAGCTTGACTATAAGTCAAAGCTGAAAAGTCTTGTAATATTTGGAATCTATTTGGAGATACAGGTGTAAGACTCATCTCATAATCTTGAGGAGTCATTGGTCTGGAATTTCCTGCATTTGAATCCATAATCCTGCAAAATTAATAAACAACATCTTTAAGCTGATTAGATAATTGTTTATTTTGCTCTTTATAATGTTGCTGAATTTCTTCACTTCTCTCTGTCCTTCGCAGAACTTGAATTCTAATAGTATTTCTCTGAATCTCTCTTTGAATGAGAAAAGCTCTCTCTTTTGGAGTAAGGGTCACATAATTGCTCTTCTGAATATATACAGTATCATATTTGGGAATTTGATAGGCTGGAATACTTTGTCTCCCATTTTTGGTTTGAACAAAGTATTGATATCCCCTGGATTGAAGGACTGCTTCTTTATTTTGGAGTTTAGGAGAATCTCTTTGGTTTCTAAGATAATTTGTGTTTCTAAGTACCACTTCTACCCAGGCAATATATACTTGTAGGGACTTAGAGTGTAAATAAATGAAACTTACTTGACTTTTGAGAGTGCACAATCGGAAGCTTGAATTCAACAATGGAAACTTTATTGTAATGATGAAATCCACTTCTACAAAGGCTTTTGAGTACAATGGTTATTTAGAGTGAGTGGGAATAGTAGAAGAACTAAGAGTGAGTGGAGTAGTAGGAAAACTTAGACAAGTCTATTACAACTTCTGATATTTGCCGATGAGATAAAAGATAAAAATCAATTACAAAGATTTTTAGGATGTTTAAATTATATAGCAGATTTCTTTCCTAAGTTAAGACAAGAATGTTCTATATTATTTAATAGATTAAAGAAAAATCCAAAACCTTGGACAGATGAACATACACAAAAAATAAAATATTTAAAAGAAAAAATAGAGTCATTACCATGTTTATGTTTACCTCATCCTAAAGCATTCATGATAGTCGAAACAGATGCATCAGAATTAGGATATGGAGGAATATTAAAACAAAGAATAGATAATTCAAAAGAAGAATTGGTTAGATTTTATTTCCACCAGTGGTTGAACCAAATTGGAAATTCTTTGTTACAACTTTCTTTGAATGTAAAAAACCAGGAATGATTGAATGGTCTAAAAAGTAAATCACGATACCATGCCATTTTGTAATCTTGGTATGTGAATCCGTCTGGAATGAAATTCACTGAAAATGATTTTTTCGAATAAAGAGAAGTCCATTCTCCAGGAGAACAAACTTTCTTTATAATACACTTGGAATGACTAATAATGTTTGGATTCTTTTTATCTGGAATGGGGTAAATCTCTACAGATTGAGTATCTGTAAGGATTAATTCATAATAGTCTAGATTTTTTGAAGATCAAACTAATGTAATCAGATTCCTGACCACTGGAGACAAATTAAAGTGGACAGCTACTACCACTACTCAAAAGGAGTCAAGACAGTCAACAATCATTCCAACCACTACACCAGTCACTCCAAAAAGAGACAAAGAAAAAGTGACGGAAATGGCATCCGAAGAAACAGCCAGTAACTTTTTGATAAAGCAAATTATGCAGAATCCCGAGATGCTGAAAGAATATCTGAAATATTTACAAAAGCCAAAAGAAGAAGACAAAATAGAGGAACCAGCAGGATCATCCGAATCTACTTTTGATCCTTTTGATGATCCCATCGGTGGACAAAATCCAAACGACTTTTGAAAAAGAATGTCGGCCACAACAAATGAAAGCAAAATTGAAATTCAAATAAAAATGAAATGCAGAATCGAGCTTCTATAAATAGATTCAAGATTCAGAAGACAGGCATCGGCAAATATCAGAAGTTGTAATAGACTTGTCTAAGTTTTCCTACTACTCCCACTCACTCTTAGTTCTTCTACTATTCCCACTCACTCTAAATAACCATTGTACTCAAAAGCCTTTGTAGAAGTGGATTTCATCATTACAATAAAGTTTCCATTGTTGAATTCAAGCTTCCGATTGTGCACTCTCAAAAGTCAAGTAAGTTTCATTTATTTACACTCTAAGTTGTGAGACTATTATATCTCCTTGTCCTATATTTTTTTTATTTCTTGTAATGGAGGATGTATTGATGTTATTATTTGATCATCTTTTAATTTCCATTTTTTATATAAATTGGTTTGAATATTTATTTGTGGTGTATTATAAACATCATTTATTTCTATTTTTGAGATATAGAATGATAACCAAGTAAAGAAAGGGAAATCAAATTTTTGTTTTTCTAATTCTTTCTTCCATTCTAAGATTAATTTTTCTTTATATTCAGATTCTAATTGAAAAAATCAAATTCTTTTTTCAGTATTTTCTTCATCATCAAAATCTTCTTGTAAATATTTATGATTTATTTATAACATTTATTTCTCCTTTCATTTGTGAATGTGTGGGGGAATATTCTGATTGATTTTGATTTATAACTTCTGGAACAGGAATTTTATATTTAAAAGTTGAATTACTTTCTAAAGGAAAGTTAATTTCAGTTGATTCATAATTAGAATGTCTAGGTGGTAATCAAGAATAAGTTGAATTAGATCTTTCTCTTATTGAGGAAAATCTTATTAGAGTTTTACCATCAGGTTTTTCTATTATATCTTCTGCAGTAGTTTGTTCTATATTTCTAGCTATTTGTGGATTTTGTATCTCAAATTCACTAGGTATAGTTATTTCATTCCATTTTAATCTTTTTGGAGTATAAGTAGTAGGTCTATCAGCATCTACTTGTAATAAAGTTGTTTCTTCTTTAAGAGTTGGAGTCATTATAAATTTAGGATTTAAATGTGAAGACAATGGTCTATAATATATTCTATATATTACTGCAAAATTCCTTGTATGTCTTTCAAATTCATTTCCTTATAGATGAATATCTAAAATGACTGAATTCAGAATATGTGGGTCTGTTAGATCTATTGAAAAATTTGGAGCCCAGTTAAAATATATGGGTCCATTACAAACATTTGTTTGAATCATGGAAAATAAAGAAGTTTTATATCTTTTGAGTCTAGTATTTCTTAATGCTAGATAAATTGGAGCATCGACTCCTAGATGGAATAAAGGTTTTACTACAATTTGTATTAAACCTATATGAATATATCGATATCCTTTACTTAAATATTTTTGAATTGTACTATGATTTAATAATGGAATTGATTGATATTCTTCTTGAATGGATATTGTTTCTTCATGAGTTTTAACTGATAATGCTGTTTTGAAATCTAAAGGGCCTATTCTGTATATATGCTCTATTTTTTCTTCTGGAATAGTCCAATCTGAATTTACAGGCATATGATATTCATGACTTTGTACTATATTGTCTTGCTTTGAATTATATCCTATTTTTAATTGTCTAAGAAATGCAGCCATGTTTGTATATTTAATTAAAGTTTTACCTAATCAGGAACAACTGAGCACTATGCCGGGAACATCCTACCCTGGACTTACCAACGGTCTAACAAGGTATCAAAGTCTTACCAATGATTTCAGTAAAAGTTTAATAAAATATGTAAACATAAATGTATGAATTAGCCAAGTCAAAATAGAAACGTAATTCAAATAAAGAAATAGTAGTTCAAAATCTTAAATATGCATTTGCATGTAAGTCTGTGTGGCTCTGATACCACTTCTACCCAGGCTGCTGAATTTATTGAATAGTTCATAAAAATTCAGTATAAAATTGGACTTACAAATAATTAGGAAAGTCTTTGTCAACGGAAGCTTGTAGAAATTGTTGAATCCTTGCTACTTCTTTATTGATGTTTTGAAAAGGTTACAAGAAGCTTGAGTACAAGAGTAGGTAGAGGAAGTTTGGGATTTTGCTAAGGAATTTTCTATAGAGCAAAGTTTTTTGTTCTGCTAATTCCCTGATGCCTTTGCTATCTGAGATTGAATCTATTTATAGACTCTTCCAGTCTGTACATTTCATCTGCATTTGAATTTCATTTGCTTTCTTTGCAATGTGGCCGACATCTTTGAGTAAGTGGTTGATATCTTTTTCAAAAGTAATTTGGGTCTTGTCCGCATGGTCCACCAAACGGATCAAAATTTGATTCGGATGATCCTGCTGACTCTTCAATTTTGTCGGTTTCTTCATCTTTATCTTGCTTTTGTAAATAATCTAAATATTCTCTGAGCATCTCGAAATTTTGCATCATCTTTTTCATCAAAAAGTCGTTTGTAGTGGTCTCGGATGCTATACTGGTAACTTTTTCTTTATCTCTTCTTTTTGGAGTGGTTGGAGTTGGTGGCATGTTTGTTGGAGTAGGTGACATAGTTGTTGGCTATTTTGTCCACTTGAACTTGTCCCCAGTTGTTAGGAATCTTATCACATTTGCTTGGTCTCCATATTCTTGATTGAATCCTGTCCACCATTTAATCTTGAATTCTCTGACTAGTGACATTGGAAGTGGTTTTTTTAGATCTTGATGAATTTTGAAGTTTCAGCAAAATATCCATGGTATTTTGAACTCCATATGAAATAATATTGGTCTTGTATATTCCTCCCCCTTGCTTTTTTGAGATAGGTTTGAAATCCCATCAGAACATTTGGAGGTAGGATTTCGGTTGAGGATCAAACCATTTCCACCAGTGGTTGAATCAAATTGGAAATTCTTTGCTGCAACTTTCTTTGAATGTAAAAAATCATGAATGATTGAATGGTCTATACAAAAAAGCACGATACCATGCCATTTTGTAGTCTTGATAGGTAAATCCATCTGGAATAAATCTGACTGAGAAGGATTTCTTTGAATAAAGAGAAGTCCATTCATTGAGAGAACAAACTTTCTTTATTATACACTTTGAGTGGCTAATAATATTGGGATTCTTTTTATCTGGAATAGGGAATATTTCTACAGATTGGGTATCTGTAAGAATTAATTCATAATAATCCAAATTTTTTGAGGGATCATCTGGTTGCCAATAACATTTTTGAGAAAAGATTCTTTGAACAGTCTGGTTGAGTGTTGAATATAATGGGGTTTCTTGGAATCTAGTCAAAGTTATATGTTGAGTAAATGGTTTTGTAAAATAGGTATTTTCATTGGATTTTTCAATAGGTTTTTGAGTTTGTTGAAGGAGTCTTATTGGAGGGAAAGTTGGAGTACGAGTAGCTTGACTATAAGTCAAAGCTGAAAAGTCTTGTAATATTTGGAATCTATTTGGAGATACAGGTGTAAGACTCATCTCATAATCTTGAGGAGTCATTGGTCTGGAATTTCCTGCATTTGAATCCATAATCCTGCAAAATTAATAAACAACATCTTTAAGCTGATTAGATAATTGTTTATTTTGCTCTTTATAATGTTGCTGAATTTCTTCACTTCTCTCTGTCCTTCGCAGAACTTGAATTCTAATAGTATTTCTCTGAATCTCTCTTTGAATGAGAAAAGCTCTCTCTTTTGGAGTAAGGGTCACATAATTGCTCTTCTGAATATATACAGTATCATATTTGGGAATTTGATAGGCTGGAATACTTTGTCTCCCATTTTTGGTTTGAACAAAGTATTGATATCCCCTGGATTGAAGGACTGCTTCTTTATTTTGGAGTTTAGGAGAATCTCTTTGGTTTCTAAGATAATTTGTGTTTCTAAGTACCACTTCTACCCAGGCAATATATACTTGTAGGGACTTAGAGTGTAAATAAATGAAACTTACTTGACTTTTGAGAGTGCACAATCGGAAGCTTGAATTCAACAATGGAAACTTTATTGTAATGATGAAATCCACTTCTACAAAGGCTTTTGAGTACAATGGTTATTTAGAGTGAGTGGGAATAGTAGAAGAACTAAGAGTGAGTGGGAGTAGTAGGAAAACTTAGACAAGTCTATTACAACTTCTGATATTTGCCGATGAGATAAAAGATAAAAATCAATTACAAAGATTTTTAGGATGTTTAAATTATATAGCAGATTTCTTTCCTAAGTTAAGACAAGAATGTTCTATATTATTTAATAGATTAAAGAAAAATCCAAAACCTTGGACAGATGAACATACACAAAAAATAAAATATTTAAAAGAAAAAATAGAGTCATTACCATGTTTATGTTTACCTCATCCTAAAGCATTCATGATAGTCGAAACAGATGCATCAGAATTAGGATATGGAGGAATATTAAAACAAAGAATAGATAATTCAAAAGAAGAATTGGTTAGATTTTATTTCCACCAGTGGTTGAACCAAATTGGAAATTCTTTGTTACAACTTTCTTTGAATGTAAAAAACCAGGAATGATTGAATGGTCTAAAAAGTAAAGCACGATACCATGCCATTTTGTAATCTTGGTATGTGAATCCATCTGGAATGAAATTCACTGAAAATGATTTTTTCGAATAAAGAGAAGTCCATTCTCCAGGAGAACAAACTTTCTTTATAATACACTTGGAATGACTAATAATGTTTGGATTCTTTTTATCTGGAATGGGGTAAATCTCTACAGATTGAGTATCTGTAAGGATTAATTCATAATAGTCTAGATTTTTTGAAGATCAAACTAATGTAATCAGATTCCTGACCACTGGAGACAAATTAAAGTGGACAGCTACTACCACTACTCAAAAGGAGTCAAGACAGTCAACAATCATTCCAACCACTACACCAGTCACTCCAAAAAGAGACAAAGAAAAAGTGACGGAAATGGCATCCGAAGAAACAGCCAGTAACTTTTTGATAAAGCAAATTATGCAGAATCCCGAGATGCTGAAAGAATATCTGAAATATTTACAAAAGCCAAAAGAAGAAGACAAAATAGAGGAACCAGCAGGATCATCCGAATCTACTTTTGATCCTTTTGATGATCCCATCGGTGGACAAAATCCAAACGACTTTTGAAAAAGAATGTCGGCCACAACAAATGAAAGCAAAATTGAAATTCAAATAAAAATGAAATGCAGAATCGAGCTTCTATAAATAGATTCAAGATTCAGAAGACAGGCATCGGCAAATATCAGAAGTTGTAATAGACTTGTCTAAGTTTTCCTACTACTCCCACTCACTCTTAGTTCTTCTACTATTCCCACTCACTCTAAATAACCATTGTACTCAAAAGCCTTTGTAGAAGTGGATTTCATCATTACAATAAAGTTTCCATTGTTGAATTCAAGCTTCCGATTGTGCACTCTCAAAAGTCAAGTAAGTTTCATTTATTTACACTCTAAGTTGTGAGACTATTATATCTCCTTGTCCTATATTTTTTTTATTTCTTGTAATGGAGGATGTATTGATGTTACTATTTGATCATCTTTTAATTTCCATTTTTTATATAAATTGGTTTGAATATTTATTTGTGGTGTATTATAAACATCATTTATTTCTATTTTTGAGATATAGAATGATAACCAAGTAAAGAAAGGGAAATCAAATTTTTGTTTTTCTAATTCTTTCTTCCATTCTAAGATTAATTTTTCTTTATATTCAGATTCTAATTGAAAAAATCAAATTCTTTTTTCAGTATTTTCTTCATCATCAAAATCTTCTTGTAAATATTTATGATTTATTTATAACATTTATTTCTCCTTTCATTTGTGAATGTGTGGGGGAATATTCTGATTGATTTTGATTTATAACTTCTGGAACAGGAATTTTATATTTAAAAGTTGAATTACTTTCTAAAGGAAAGTTAATTTCAGTTGATTCATAATTAGAATGTCTAGGTGGTAATCAAGAATAAGTTGAATTAGATCTTTCTCTTATTGAGGAAAATCTTATTAGAGTTTTACCATCAGGTTTTTCTATTATATCTTCTGCAGTAGTTTGTTCTATATTTCTAGCTATTTGTGGATTTTGTATCTCAAATTCACTAGGTATAGTTATTTCATTCCATTTTAATCTTTTTGGAGTATAACTAGTAGGTCTATCAGCATCTACTTGTAATAAAGTTGTTTCTTCTTTAAGAGTTGGAGTCATTATAAATTTAGGATTTAAATGTGAAGACAATGGTCTATAATATATTCTATATATTACTGCAAAATTCCTTGTATGTCTTTCAAATTCATTTCCTTATAGATGAATATCTAAAATGACTGAATTCAGAATATGTGGGTCTGTTAGATCTATTGAAAAATTTGGAGCCCAGTTAAAATATATGGGTCCATTACAAACATTTGTTTGAATCATGGAAAATAAAGAAGTTTTATATCTTTTGAGTCTAGTATTTCTTAATGCTAGATAAATTGGAGCATCGACTCCTAGATGGAATAAAGGTTTTACTACAATTTGTATTAAACCTATATGAATATATCGATATCCTTTACTTAAATATTTTTGAATTGTACTATGATTTAATAATGGAATTGATTGATATTCTTCTTGAATGGATATTGTTTCTTCATGAGTTTTAACTGATAATGCTTTTTGAAATCTAAAGGGCCTATTCTGTATATATGCTCTATTTTTTCTTCTGGAATAGTCCAATCTGAATTTACAGGCATATGATATTCATGACTTTGTACTATATTGTCTTGTTTTGAATTATATCCTATTTTTAATTGTCTAAGAAATGCAGCCATGTTTGTATATTTAATTAAAGTTTTACCTAATCAGGAACAACTGAGCACTATGCCGGGAACATCCTACCCTGGACTTACCAACGGTCTAACAAGGTATCAAAGTCTTACCAATGATTTCAGTAAAAGTTTAATAAAATATGTAAACATAAATGTATGAATTAGCCAAGTCAAAATAGAAACGTAATTCAAATAAAGAAATAGTAGTTCAAAATCTTAAATATGCATTTGCATGTAAGTCTGTGTGGCTCTGATACCACTTCTACCCAGGCTGCTGAATTTATTGAATAGTTCATAAAAATTCAGTATAAAATTGGACTTACAAATAATTAGGAAAGTCTTTGTCAACGGAAGCTTGTAGAAATTGTTGAATCCTTGCTACTTCTTTATTGATGTTTTGAAAAGGTTACAAGAAGCTTGAGTACAAGAGTAGGTAGAGGAAGTTTGGGATTTTGCTAAGGAATTTTCTATAGAGCAAAGTTTTTTGTTCTGCTAATTCCCTGATGCCTTTGCTATCTGAGATTGAATCTATTTATAGACTCTTCCAGTCTGTACATTTCATCTGCATTTGAATTTCATTTGCTTTCTTGCAGTGTGGCCGACATCTTTGAGTAAGTGGTTGATATCTTTTTCAAAAGTAATTTGGGTCTTGTCCGCATGGTCCACCAAACGGATCAAAATTTGATTCGGATGATCCTGCTGACTCTTCAATTTTGTCGGTTTCTTCATCTTTATCTTGCTTTTGTAAATAATCTAAATATTTCTGAGCATCTCGAAATTTTGCATCATCTTTTTCATCAAAAAGTCGTTTGTAGTGGTCTCGGATGCTATACTGGTAACTTTTTTTTATCTCTTCTTTTTGGAGTGGTTGGAGTTGGTGGCATGTTTGTTGGAGTAGGTGACATAGTTGTTGGCTATTTTGTCACTTGAACTTGTCCCCAGTTGTTAGGAATCTTATCACATTTGCTTGGTCTCCATATTCTTGATTGAATCCTGTCCACCATTTAATCTTGAATTCTCTGACTAGTGACATTGGAAGTGGTTTTTTTAGATCTTGATGAATTTTGAAGTTTCAGCAAAATATCCATGGTATTTTGAACTCCATATGAAATAATATTGGTCTTGTATATTCCTCCCCCCTTGCTTTTTTGAGATAGGTTTGAAATCCCATCAGAACATTTGGAGGTAGGATTTCGGGTTGAGGATCAAACCATTTCCACCAGTGGTTGAATCAAATTGGAAATTCTTTGCTGCAACTTTCTTTGAATGTAAAAAATCATGAATGATTGAATGGTCTATACAAAAAAGCACGATACCATGCCATTTTGTAGTCTTGATAGGTAAATCCATCTGGAATAAATCTGACTGAGAAGAATTTCTTTGAATAAAGAGAAGTCCATTCATTGAGAGAACAAACTTTCTTTATTATACACTTTGAGTGGCTAATAATATTAGGATTCTTTTTATCTGGAATAGGGAATATTTCTACAGATTGGGTATCTGTAAGAATTAATTCATAATAATCCAAATTTTTTGAGGGATCATCTGGTTGCCAATAACATTTTGAGAAAAGATTCTTTGAACAGTCTGGTTGAGTGTTGAATATAATGGGGTTTCTTGGAATCTAGTCAAAGTTATATGTTGAGTAAATGGTTTTGTAAAATAGGTATTTTCATTGGATTTTTCAATAGGTTTTTGAGTTTGTTGAAGGAGTCTTATTGGAGGGAAAGTTGGAGTACGAGTAGCTTGACTATAAGTCAAAGCTGAAAAGTCTTGTAATATTTGGAATCTATTTGGAGATACAGGTGTAAGACTCATCTCATAATCTTGAGGAGTCATTGGTCTGGAATTTCCTGCATTTGAATCCATAATCCTGCAAAATTAATAAACAACATCTTTAAGCTGATTAGATAATTGTTTATTTTGCTCTTTATAATGTTGCTGAATTTCTTCACTTCTCTCTGTCCTTCGCAGAACTTGAATTCTAATAGTATTTCTCTGAATCTCTCTTTGAATGAGAAAAGCTCTCTCTTTTGGAGTAAGGGTCACATAATTGCTCTTCTGAATATATACAGTATCATATTTGGGAATTTGATAGGCTGGAATACTTTGTCTCCCATTTTTGGTTTGAACAAAGTATTGATATCCCCTGGATTGAAGGACTGCTTCTTTATTTTGGAGTTTAGGAGAATCTCTTTGGTTTCTAAAGATAATTTGTGTTTCTAAGTACCCACTTCTACCCAGGCCAATATATACTTGTAGGGACTTAGAGTGTAAATAAATGAAACTTACTTGACTTTTGAGAGTGCACAATCGGAAGCTTGAATTCAACAATGGAAACTTTATTGTAATGATGAAATCCACTTCTACAAAGGCTTTTGAGTACAATGGTTATTTAGAGTGAGTGGGAATAGTAGAAGAACTAAGAGTGAGTGGGAGTAGTAGGAAAACTTAGACAAGTCTATTACAACTTCTGATATTTGCCGATGAGATAAAAGATAAAAATCAATTACAAAGATTTTTAGGATGTTTAAATTATATAGCAGATTTCTTTCCTAAGTTAAGACAAGAATGTTCTATATTATTTAATAGATTAAAGAAAAATCCAAAACCTTGGACAGATGAACATACACAAAAAATAAAATATTTAAAAGAAAAAATAGAGTCATTACCATGTTTATGTTTACCTCATCCTAAAGCATTCATGATAGTCGAAACAGATGCATCAGAATTAGGATATGGAGGAATATTAAAACAAAGAATAGATAATTCAAAAGAAGAATTGGTTAGATTTTATTTCCACCAGTGGTTGAACCAAATTGGAAATTCTTTGTTACAACTTTCTTTGAATGTAAAAAACCAGGAATGATTGAATGGTCTAAAAAGTAAAGCACGATACCATGCCATTTTGTAATCTTGGTATGTGAATCCATCTGGAATGAAATTCACTGAAAATGATTTTTTCGAATAAAGAGAAGTCCATTCTCCAGGAGAACAAACTTTCTTTATAATACACTTGGAATGACTAATAATGTTTGGATTCTTTTTATCTGGAATGGGGTAAATCTCTACAGATTGAGTATCTGTAAGGATTAATTCATAATAGTCTAGATTTTTTGAAGATCAAACTAATGTAATCAGATTCCTGACCACTGGAGACAAATTAAAGTGGACAGCTACTACCACTACTCAAAAGGAGTCAAGACAGTCAACAATCATTCCAACCACTACACCAGTCACTCCAAAAAGAGACAAAGAAAAAGTGACGGAAATGGCATCCGAAGAAACAGCCAGTAACTTTTTGATAAAGCAAATTATGCAGAATCCCGAGATGCTGAAAGAATATCTGAAATATTTACAAAAGCCAAAAGAAGAAGACAAAATAGAGGAACCAGCAGGATCATCCGAATCTACTTTTGATCCTTTTGATGATCCCATCGGTGGACAAAATCCAAACGACTTTTGAAAAAGAATGTCGGCCACAACAAATGAAAGCAAAATTGAAATTCAAATAAAAATGAAATGCAGAATCGAGCTTCTATAAATAGATTCAAGATTCAGAAGACAGGCATCGGCAAATATCAGAAGTTGTAATAGACTTGTCTAAGTTTTCCTACTACTCCCACTCACTCTTAGTTCTTCTACTATTCCCACTCACTCTAAATAACCATTGTACTCAAAAGCCTTTGTAGAAGTGGATTTCATCATTACAATAAAGTTTCCATTGTTGAATTCAAGCTTCCGATTGTGCACTCTCAAAAGTCAAGTAAGTTTCATTTATTTACACTCTAAGTTGTGAGACTATTATATCTCCTTGTCCTATATTTTTTTTATTTCTTGTAATGGAGGATGTATTGATGTTACTATTTGATCATCTTTTAATTTCCATTTTTTATATAAATTGGTTTGAATATTTATTTGTGGTGTATTATAAACATCATTTATTTCTATTTTTGAGATATAGAATGATAACCAAGTAAAGAAAGGGAAATCAAATTTTTGTTTTTCTAATTCTTTCTTCCATTCTAAGATTAATTTTTCTTTATATTCAGATTCTAATTGAAAAAATCAAATTCTTTTTTCAGTATTTTCTTCATCATCAAAATCTTCTTGTAAATATTTATGATTTATTTATAACATTTATTTCTCCTTTCATTTGTGAATGTGTGGGGAATATTCTGATTGATTTTGATTTATAACTTCTGGAACAGGAATTTTATATTTAAAAGTTGAATTACTTTCTAAAGGAAAGTTAATTTCAGTTGATTCATAATTAGAATGTCTAGGTGGTAATCAAGAATAAGTTGAATTAGATCTTTCTCTTATTGAGGAAAATCTTATTAGAGTTTTACCATCAGGTTTTTCTATTATATCTTCTGCAGTAGTTTGTTCTATATTTCTAGCTATTTGTGGATTTTGTATCTCAAATTCACTAGGTATAGTTATTTCATTCCATTTTAATCTTTTTGGAGTATAAGTAGTAGGTCTATCAGCATCTACTTGTAATAAAGTTGTTTCTTCTTTAAGAGTTGGAGTCATTATAAATTTAGGATTTAAATGTGAAGACAATGGTCTATAATATATTCTATATATTACTGCAAAATTCCTTGTATGTCTTTCAAATTCATTTCCTTATAGATGAATATCTAAAATGACTGAATTCAGAATATGTGGGTCTGTTAGATCTATTGAAAAATTTGGAGCCCAGTTAAAATATATGGGTCCATTACAAACATTTGTTTGAATCATGGAAAATAAAGAAGTTTTATATCTTTTGAGTCTAGTATTTCTTAATGCTAGATAAATTGGAGCATCGACTCCTAGATGGAATAAAGGTTTTACTACAATTTGTATTAAACCTATATGAATATATCGATATCCTTTACTTAAATATTTTTGAATTGTACTATGATTTAATAATGGAATTGATTGATATTCTTCTTGAATGGATATTGTTTCTTCATGAGTTTTAACTGATAATGCTGTTTTTGAAATCTAAAGGGCCTATTCTGTATATATGCTCTATTTTTTCTTCTGGAATAGTCCAATCTGAATTTACAGGCATATGATATTCATGACTTTGTACTATATTGTCTTGCTTTGAATTATATCCTATTTTTAATTGTCTAAGAAATGCAGCCATGTTTGTATATTTAATTAAAGTTTTACCTAATCAGGAACAACTGAGCACTATGCCGGGAACATCCTACCCTGGACTTACCAACGGTCTAACAAGGTATCAAAGTCTTACCAATGATTTCAGTAAAAGTTTAATAAAATATGTAAACATAAATGTATGAATTAGCCAAGTCAAAATAGAAACGTAATTCAAATAAAGAAATAGTAGTTCAAAATCTTAAATATGCATTTGCATGTAAGTCTGTGTGGCTCTGATACCACTTCTACCCAGCGCTCTGAATTTATTGAATAGTTCATAAAAATTCAGTATAAAATTGGACTTACAAATAATTAGGAAAGTCTTTGTCAACGGAAGCTTGTAGAAATTGTTGAATCCTTGCTACTTCTTTATTGATGTTTTGAAAAGGTTACAAGAAGCTTGAGTACAAGAGTAGGTAGAGGAAGTTTGGGATTTTGCTAATTTTCTATAGAGCAAAGTTTTTTGTTCTGCTAATTCCCTGATGCCTTTGCTATCTGAGATTGAATCTATTTATAGACTCTTCCAGTGAACATTTTGCATGTACATCTTTAGTGTGGTTGATATCTTTTTCAAAAGTAATTTGGGTCTTGTCCGCATGGTCCACCAAACGGATCAAAATTTGATTCGGATGATCCTGCTGACTCTTCAATTTTGTCGGTTTCTTCATCTTTATCTTGCTTTTGTAAATAATCTAAATATTCGCATCTCGAAATTTGCATCATCTTTTTCATCAAAAAGTCGTTTGTAGTGGTCTCGGATGCTATACTGGTAACTTTTTCTTTATCTCTTCTTTTTGGAGTGGTTGGAGTTGGTGGCATGTTTGTTGGAGTAGGTGACATAGTTGTTGGCTATTTTGTCCACTTGAACTTGTCCCCAGTTGTTAGGAATCTTATCACATCCATATTCTTGATTGAATCCTGTCCACCATTTAATCTTGAATTCTCTGACTAGTGACATTGGAAGTGGTTTTTTTAGATCTTGATGAATTTTGAAGTTTCAGCAAAATATCCATGGTATTTTGAACTCCATATGAAATAATATTGGTCTTGTATATTCCTCCCCCTTGCTTTTTTGAGATAGGTTTGAAATCCCATCAGAACATTTGGAGGTAGGATTTCGGGTTGAGGATCAAACCATTTCCACCAGTGGTTGAATCAAATTGGAAATTCTTTGCTGCAACTTTCTTTGAATGTAAAAAATCATGAATGATTGAATGGTCTATAAAAAGCACGATACCATGCCATTTTGTAGTCTTGATAGGTAAATCCATCTGGAATAAATCTGACTGAGAAAATTTCTTTGAATAAAGAGAAGTCCATTCATTGAGAGAACAAACTTTCTTTATTATACACTTTGAGTGGCTAATAATATTGGGATTCTTTTTATCTGGAATAGGGAATATTTCTACAGATTGGGTATCTGTAAGAATTAATTCATAATAATCCAAATTTTTTGAGGGATCATCTGGTTGCCAATAACATTTTTGAGAAAAGATTCTTTGAACAGTCTGGTTGAGTGTTGAATATAATGGGGTTTCTCTGGTAGTCAAAGTTATATGTTGAGTAAATGGTTTTGTAAAATAGGTATTTTCATTGGATTTTTCAATAGTTTTTGAGTTTGTTGAAGGAGTCTTATTGGAGGGAAAGTTGGAGTACGAGTAGCTTGACTATAAGTCAAAGCTGAAAAGTCTTGTAATATTTGGAATCTATTTGGAGATAGGTGAGACTCATCTCATAATCTTGAGGAGTCATTGGTCTGGAATTTCCTGCATTTGAATCCATAATCCTGCAAAATTAATAAACAACATCTTTAAGCTGATTAGATAATTGTTTATTTTGCTCTTTATAATGTTGCTGAATTTCTTCACTTCTCTCTGTCCTTCGCAGAACTTGAATTCTAATAGTATTTCTCTGAATCTCTCTTTGAATGAGAAAAGCTCTCTCTTTTGGAGTAAGGGTCACATAATTGCTCTTCTGAATATATACAGTATCATATTTGGGAATTTGATAGGCTGGAATACTTTGTCTCCCATTTTTGGTTTGAACAAATTGTATTGATGGATTGAAGGACTGCTTCTTTTTTTGGAGTTTAGGAGAATCTCTTTGGTTTCTAAGATAATTTTGTGTTTCTACCCAGGCAATATATACTTGTAGGGACTTAGAGTGTAAATAAATGAAACTTACTTGACTTTTGAGAGTGCACAATCGGAAGCTTGAATTCAACAATGGAAACTTTATTGTAATGATGAAATCCACTTCTACAAAGGCTTTTGAGTACAATGGTTATTTAGAGTGAGTGGGAATAGTAGAACTAAGAGTGAGTGGGAGTAGTGGAAAACTTAGACAAGTCTATTACAACTTCTGCCGATGAGATAAAAGATAAAAATCAATTACAAAGATTTTTAGGATGTTTAAATTATATAGCAGATTTCTTTCCTAAGTTAAGACAAGAATGTTCTATATTATTTAATAGATTAAAGAAAAATCCAAAACCTTGGACAGATGAACATACACAAAAAATAAATATTTAAAAGAAAAAATAGAATTACCATGTTTATGTTTACCTCATCCTAAAGCATTCATGATAGTCGAAACAGATGCATCAGAATTAGGATATGGAGGAATATTAAAACAAAGAATAGATAATTCAAAAGAAGAATTGGTTAGATTTTATTTCCACCAGTGGTTGAACCAAATTGGAAATTCTTTGTTACAACTTTCTTTGAATGTAAAAAACCAGGAATGATTGAATGGTCTAAAAAGTAAAGCACGATACCATGCCATTTTGTAATCTTGGTATGTGAATCCATCTGGAATGAAATTCACTGAAAATGATTTTTTCGAATAAAGAGAAGTCCATTCTCCAGGAGAACAAACTTTCTTTATAATACACTTGGAATGACTAATAATGTTTGGATTCTTTTTATCTGGAATGGGGTAAATCTCTACAGATTGAGTATCTGTAAGGATTAATTCATAATAGTCTAGATTTTTTGAAGATCAAACTAATGTAATCAGATTCCTGACCACTGGAGACAAATTAAAGTGGACAGCTACTACCACTACTCAAAAGGAGTCAAGACAGTCAACAATCATTCCAACCACTACACCAGTCACTCCAAAAAGAGACAAAGAAAAAGTGACGGAAATGGCATCCGAAGAAACAGCCAGTAACTTTTTGATAAAGCAAATTATGCAGAATCCCGAGATGCTGAAAGAATATCTGAAATATTTACAAAAGCCAAAAGAAGAAGACAAAATAGAGGAACCAGCAGGATCATCCGAATCTACTTTTGATCCTTTTGATGATCCCATCGGTGGACAAAATCCAAACGACTTTTGAAAAAGAATGTCGGCCACAACAAATGAAAGCAAAATTGAAATTCAAATAAAAATGAAATGCAGAATCGAGCTTCTATAAATAGATTCAAGATTCAGAAGACAGGCATCGGCAAATATCAGAAGTTGTAATAGACTTGTCTAAGTTTTCCTACTACTCCCACTCACTCTTAGTTCTTCTACTATTCCCACTCACTCTAAATAACCATTGTACTCAAAAGCCTTTGTAGAAGTGGATTTCATCATTACAATAAAGTTTCCATTGTTGAATTCAAGCTTCCGATTGTGCACTCTCAAAAGTCAAGTAAGTTTCATTTATTTACACTCTAAGTTGTGAGACTATTATATCTCCTTGTCCTATATTTTTTTTATTTCTTGTAATGGAGGATGTATTGATGTTACTATTTGATCATCTTTTAATTTCCATTTTTTATATAAATTGGTTTGAATATTTATTTGTGGTGTATTATAAACATCATTTATTTCTATTTTTGAGATATAGAATGATAACCAAGTAAAAATTTTTGTTTTTCTAATCTTTCTTCCATTCTAAGATTAATTTTTCTTTATATTCAGATTCTAATTGAAAAAATCAAATTCTTTTTTCAGTATTTTCTTCATCATCAAAATCTTCTTGTAAATATTTATGATTTATTTATAACATTTATTTCTCCTTTCATTTGTGAATGTGTGGGGGAATATTCTGATTGATTTTGATTTATAACTTCTGGAACAGGAATTTTATATTTAAAAGTTGAATTACTTTCTAAAGGAAAGTTAATTTCAGTTGATTCATAATTAGAATGTCTAGGTGGTAATCAAGAATAAGTTGAATTAGATCTTTCTCTTATTGAGGAAAATCTTATTAGAGTTTTACCATCAGGTTTTTCTATTATATCTTCTTGCAGTAGTTTGTTCTATATTTCTAGCTAAATATACTATTATAGTTATTTCATTCCATTTTAATCTTTTTGGAGTATAAGTAGTAGGTCTATCAGCATCTACTTGTAATAAAGTTGTTTCTTCTTTAAGAGTTGGAGTCATTATAAATTTAGGATTTAAATGTACAATGGTCTATAATATATTTATATATTACTGCAAAATTCCTTGTATGTCTTTCAAATTCATTTCCTTATAGATGAATATCTAAAATGACTGAATTCAGAATATGTGGGTCTGTTAGATCTATTGAAAAATTTGGAGCCCAGTTAAAATATATGGGTCCATTACAAACATTTGTTTGAATCATGGAAAATAAAGAAGTTTTATATCTTTTGAGTCTAGTATTTCTTAATGCTAGATAAATTGGAGCATCGACTCCTAGATGGAATAAAGGTTTTACTACAATTTGTATTAAACCTATATGAATATATCGATATCCTTTACTTAAATATTTTTGAATTGTACTATGATTTAATAATGGAATTGATTGATATTCTTTGAATGGATATTGTTTCTTCATGAGTTTTAAACTGATAATGCTGTTTTGAAATCTAAAGGGCCTATTCTGTATATATCTATTTTTTCTTCTGGAATAGTCCAATCTGAATTTACAGGCATATGATATTCATGACTTTGTACTATATTGTCTTGCTTTGAATTATATCCTATTTTTAATTGTCTAAGAAATGCAGCCATGTTTGTATATTTAATTAAAGTTTTACCTAATCAGGAACAACTGAGCACTATGCCGGGAACATCCTACCCTGGACTTACCAACGGTCTAACAAGGTATCAAAGTCTTACCAATGATTTCAGTAAAAGTTTAATAAAATATGTAAACATAAATGTATGAATTAGCCAAGTCAAAATAGAAACGTAATTCAAATAAAGAAATAGTAGTTCAAAATCTTAAATATGCATTTGCATGTAAGTCTGTGTGGCTCTGATACCACTTCTACCACCTGCTGAATTTATTGAATAGTTCATAAAAATTCAGTATAAAATTGGACTTACAAATAATTAGGAAAGTCTTTGTCAACGGAAGCTTGTAGAAATTGTTGAATCCTTGCTACTTCTTTATTGATGTTTTGAAAAGGTTACAAGAAGCTTGAGTACAAGAGTAGGTAGAGGAAGTTTGGGATTTTGCTAAGGAATTTTCTATAGAGCAAAGTTTTTTGTTCTGCTAATTCCCTGATGCCTTTGCTATCTGAGATTGAATCTATTTATAGACTCTTCCAGTCTGTACATTTCATCTGCATTGAATTTCATTTGCTTCTTTGCAATGTGGCGACATCTTTGAGTAAGTGGTTGATATCTTTTTCAAAAGTAATTTGGGTCTTGTCCGCATGGTCCACCAAACGGATCAAAATTTGATTCGGATGATCCTGCTGACTCTTCAATTTTGTCGGTTTCTTCATCTTTATCTTGCTTTTGTAAATAATCTAAATATTCTCTGAGCATCTCGAAATTTTGCATCATCTTTTTCATCAAAAAGTCGTTTGTAGTGGTCTCGGATGCTATACTGGTAACTTTTTCTTTATCTCTTCTTTTTGGAGTGGTTGGAGTTGGTGGCATGTTTGTTGGAGTAGGTGACATATTGTTGTGCTATTTTGTCCACTTGAACTTGTCCCCAGTTGTTAGGAATCTTATCACATTTGCTTGGTCTCCATATTCTTGATTGAATCCTGTCCACCATTTAATCTTGAATTCTCTGACTAGTGACATTGGAAGTGGTTTTTTTAGATCTTGATGAATTTTGAAGTTTCAGCAAAATATCCATGGTATTTTGAACTCCATATGAAATAATATTGGTCTTGTATATTCCTCCCCCCTTGCTTTTTTTGAGATAGGTTTGAAATCCATCAGAACATTTGGAGTAGGATTTCGGAGTTGAGGATCAAACCATTTCCACCAGTGGTTGAATCAAATTGGAAATTCTTTGCTGCAACTTTCTTTGAATGTAAAAAATCATGAATGATTGAATGGTCTATACAAAAAAGCACGATACCATGCCATTTTGTAGTCTTGATAGGTAAATCCATCTGGAATAAATCTGACTGAGAAGAATTTCTTTGAATAAAGAGAAGTCCATTCATTGAGAGAACAAACTTTCTTTTTATACACTTTGAGTGGCTAATAATATTGGGATTCTTTTTATCTGGAATAGGGAATATTTCTACAGATTGGGTATCTGTAAGAATTAATTCATAATAATCCAAATTTTTTTGAGGGATCATCTGGTTGCCAATAACATTTTGAGAAAAGATTCTTTGAACAGTCTGTTGAGTGTTGAATATAATGGGGTTTCTTGGGAATCTAGTCAAAGTTATATGTTGAGTAAATGGTTTTGTAAATAGGTATTTTCATTGGATTTTTTCAATAGGTTTTTGAGTTTGTTGAAGGAGTCTTATTGGAGGGAAAGTTGGAGTACGAGTAGCTTGACTATAAGTCAAAGCTGAAAAGTCTTGTAATATTTGGAATCTATTTGGAGATACAGGTGAAGACTCATCTCATAATCTTGAGGAGTCATTGGTCTGGAATTTCCTGGCATTTGAATCCATAATCCTGCAAAATTAATAAACAACATCTTTAAGCTGATTAGATAATTGTTTATTTTGCTCTTTATAATGTTGCTGAATTTCTTCACTTCTCTCTGTCCTTCGCAGAACTTGAATTCTAATAGTATTTCTCTGAATCTCTCTTTGAATGAGAAAAGCTCTCTCTTTTGGAGTAAGGGTCACATAAATTGCTCTTCTGAATATATACAGTATCATATTTGGGAATTTGATAGGCTGGAATACTTTGTCTCCCATTTTTGGTTTGAACAAAGTATTGATATCCCCTGGATTGAAGGACTGCTTCTTTATTTTGGAGTTTAGGAGAATCTCTTTGGTTTCTAAGATAATTTGTGTTTCTAAGTACCACTTCTACCCAGGCAATATATACTTGTAGGGACTTAGAGTGTAAATAAATGAAACTTACTTGACTTTTGAGAGTGCACAATCGGAAGCTTGAATTCAACAATGGAAACTTTATTGTAATGATGAAATCCACTTCTACAAAGGCTTTTGAGTACAATGGTTATTTAGAGTGAGTGGGAATAGTAGAAGAACTAAGAGTGAGTGGGAGTAGTAGGAAAACTTAGACAAGTCTATTACAACTTCTGATATTTGCCGATGAGATAAAAGATAAAAATCAATTACAAAGATTTTTAGGATGTTTAAATTATATAGCAGATTTCTTTCCTAAGTTAAGACAAGAATGTTCTATATTATTTAATAGATTAAAGAAAAATCCAAAACCTTGGACAGATGAACATACACAAAAAATAAAATATTTAAAAGAAAAATAGAGTCATTACCATGTTTATGTTTACCTCATCCTAAAGCATTCATGATAGTCGAAACAGATGCATCAGAATTAGGATATGGAGGAATATTAAAACAAAGAATAGATAATTCAAAAGAAGAATTGGTTAGATTTTATTTCCACCAGTGGTTGAACCAAATTGGAAATTCTTTGTTACAACTTTCTTTGAATGTAAAAAACCAGGAATGATTGAATGGTCTAAAAAGTAAAGCACGATACCATGCCATTTTGTAATCTTGGTATGTGAATCCATCTGGAATGAAATTCACTGAAAGATTTTTTCGAATAAAGAGAAGTCCATTCTCCAGGAGAACAAACTTTCTTTATAATACACTTGGAATGACTAATAATGTTTGGATTCTTTTTATCTGGAATGGGGTAAATCTCTACAGATTGAGTATCTGTAAGGATTAATTCATAATAGTCTAGATTTTTTGAAGATCAAACTAATGTAATCAGATTCCTGACCACTGGAGACAAATTAAAGTGGACAGCTACTACCACTACTCAAAAGGAGTCAAGACAGTCAACAATCATTCCAACCACTACACCAGTCACTCCAAAAAGAGACAAAGAAAAAGTGACGGAAATGGCATCCGAAGAAACAGCCAGTAACTTTTGATAAAGCAAATTATGCAGAATCCCGAGATGCTGAAAGAATATCTGAAATATTTACAAAAGCCAAAAGAAGAAGACAAAATAGAGGAACCAGCAGGATCATCCGAATCTACTTTTGATCCTTTTGATGATCCCATCGGTGGACAAAATCCAAACGACTTTTGAAAAAGAATGTCGGCCACAACAAATGAAAGCAAAATTGAAATTCAAATAAAAATGAAATGCAGAATCGAGCTTCTATAAATAGATTCAAGATTCAGAAGACAGGCATCGGCAAATATCAGAAGTTGTAATAGACTTGTCTAAGTTTTCCTACTACTCCCACTCACTCTTAGTTCTTCTACTATTCCCACTCACTCTAAATAACCATTGTACTCAAAAGCCTTTGTAGAAGTGGATTTCATCATTACAATAAAGTTTCCATTGTTGAATTCAAGCTTCCGATTGTGCACTCTCAAAAGTCAAGTAAGTTTCATTTATTTACACTCTAAGTTGTGAGACTATTATATCTCCTTGTCCTATATTTTTTTATTTCTTGTAATGGAGGATGTATTGATGTTACTATTTGATCATCTTTTAATTTCCATTTTTTATATAAATTGGTTTGAATATTTATTTGTGGTGTATTATAAACATCATTTATTTCTATTTTTGAGATATAGAATGATAACCAAGTAAAGAAAGGGAAATCAAATTTTTGTTTTTCTAATTCTTTCTTCCATTCTAAGATTAATTTTTCTTTATATTCAGATTCTAATTGAAAAAATCAAATTCTTTTTTCAGTATTTTCTTCATCATCAAAATCTTCTTGTAAATATTTATGATTTATTTATAACATTTATTTCTCCTTCATTTGTGAATGTGTGGGGGAATATTCTGATTGATTTTGATTTATAACTTCTGGAACAGGAATTTTATATTTAAAAGTTGAATTACTTTCTAAAGGAAAGTTAATTTCAGTTGATTCATAATTAGAATGTCTAGGTGGTAATCAAGAATAAGTTGAATTAGATCTTTCTCTTATTGAGGAAAATCTTATTAGAGTTTTACCATCAGGTTTTTCTATTATATCTTCTGCAGTAGTTTGTTCTATATTTCTAGCTATTTGTGGATTTTGTATCTCAAATTCACTAGGTATAGTTATTTCATTCCATTTTAATCTTTTGGAGTATAAGTAGTAGGTCTATCAGCATCTACTTGTAATAAAGTTGTTTCTTCTTTAAGAGTTGGAGTCATTATAAATTTAGGATTTAAATGTGAAGACAATGGTCTATAATATATTCTATATATTACTGCAAAATTCCTTGTATGTCTTTCAAATTCATTTCCTTATAGATGAATATCTAAAATGACTGAATTCAGAATATGTGGGTCTGTTAGATCTATTGAAAAATTTGGAGCCCAGTTAAAATATATGGGTCCATTACAAACATTTGTTTGAATCATGGAAAATAAAGAAGTTTTATATCTTTTGAGTCTAGTATTTCTTAATGCTAGATAAATTGGAGCATCGACTCCTAGATGGAATAAAGGTTTTACTACAATTTGTATTAAACCTATATGAATATATCGATATCCTTTACTTAAATATTTTTGAATTGTACTATGATTTAATAATGGAATTGATTGATATTCTTCTTGAATGGATATTGTTTCTTCATGAGTTTTAACTGATAATGCTGTTTTGAAATCTAAAGGGCCTATTCTGTATATATGCTCTATTTTTTCTTCTGGAATAGTCCAATCTGAATTTACAGGCATATGATATTCATGACTTTGTACTATATTGTCTTGCTTTGAATTATATCCTATTTTTAATTGTCTAAGAAATGCAGCCATGTTTGTATATTTAATTAAAGTTTTACCTAATCAGGAACAACTGAGCACTATGCCGGGAACATCCTACCCTGGACTTACCAACGGTCTAACAAGGTATCAAAGTCTTACCAATGATTTCAGTAAAAGTTTAATAAAATATGTAAACATAAATGTATGAATTAGCCAAGTCAAAATAGAAACGTAATTCAAATAAAGAAATAGTAGTTCAAAATCTTAAATATGCATTTGCATGTAAGTCTGTGTGGCTCTGATACCACTTCTACCCAGGCTGCTGAATTTATTGAATAGTTCATAAAAATTCAGTATAAAATTGGACTTACAAATAATTAGGAAAGTCTTTGTCAACGGAAGCTTGTAGAAATTGTTGAATCCTTGCTACTTCTTTATTGATGTTTTGAAAAGGTTACAAGAAGCTTGAGTACAAGAGTAGGTAGAGGAAGTTTGGGATTTTGCTAAGGAATTTTCTATAGAGCAAAGTTTTTTGTTCTGCTAATTCCCTGATGCCTTTGCTATCTGAGATTGAATCTATTTATAGACTCTTCAGTCTGTACATTTCATCTGCATTTGAATTTCATTTGCTTTCTTTGCAATGTGGCCGACATCTTTGAGTAAGTGGTTGATATCTTTTTCAAAAGTAATTTGGGTCTTGTCCGCATGGTCCACCAAACGGATCAAAATTTGATTCGGATGATCCTGCTGACTCTTCAATTTTGTCGGTTTCTTCATCTTTATCTTGCTTTTGTAAATAATCTAAATATTCTCTGAGCATCTCGAAATTTTGCATCATCTTTTTCATCAAAAAGTCGTTTGTAGTGGTCTCGGATGCTATACTGGTAACTTTTTTTTTCTCTTCTTTTTGGAGTGGTTGGAGTTGGTGCATGTTTGTTGGAGTAGGTGACATAGTTGTTGGCTATTTTGTCCACTTGAACTTGTCCCCAGTTGTTAGGAATCTTATCACATTTGCTTGGTCTCCATATTCTTGATTGAATCCTGTCCACCATTTAATCTTGAATTCTCTGACTAGTGACATTGGAAGTGGTTTTTTTAGATCTTGATGAATTTTGAAGTTTCAGCAAAATATCCATGGTATTTTGAACTCCATATGAAATAATATTGGTCTTGTATATTCCTCCCCCTTGCTTTTTTGAGATAGGTTTGAAATCCCATCAGAACATTTGGAGGTAGGATTTCGGGTTGAGGATCAAACCATTTCCACCAGTGGTTGAATCAAATTGGAAATTCTTTGCTGCAACTTTCTTTGAATGTAAAAAATCATGAATGATTGAATGGTCTATACAAAAAGCACGATACCATGCCATTTTGTAGTCTTGATAGGTAAATCCATCTGGAATAAATCTGACTGAGAAGAATTTCTTTGAATAAAGAGAAGTCCATTCATTGAGAGAACAAACTTTCTTTATTATACACTTTGAGTGGCTAATAATATTGGGATTCTTTTTATCTGGAATAGGGAATATTTCTACAGATTGGGTATCTGTAAGAATTAATTCATAATAATCCAAATTTTTTGAGGGATCATCTGGTTGCCAATAACATTTTTGAGAAAAGATTCTTTGAACAGTCTGGTTGAGTGTTGAATATAATGGGGTTTCTTGGAATCTAGTCAAAGTTATATGTTGAGTAAATGGTTTTGTAAAATAGGTATTTTCATTGGATTTTTCAATAGGTTTTTGAGTTTGTTGAAGGAGTCTTATTGGAGGGAAAGTTGGAGTACGAGTAGCTTGACTATAAGTCAAAGCTGAAAAGTCTTGTAATATTTGGAATCTATTTGGAGATACAGGTGTAAGACTCATCTCATAATCTTGAGGAGTCATTGGTCTGGAATTTCCTGCATTTGAATCCATAATCCTGCAAAATTAATAAACAACATCTTTAAGCTGATTAGATAATTGTTTATTTTGCTCTTTATAATGTTGCTGAATTTCTTCACTTCTCTCTGTCCTTCGCAGAACTTGAATTCTAATAGTATTTCTCTGAATCTCTCTTTGAATGAGAAAAGCTCTCTCTTTTGGAGTAAGGGTCACATAATTGCTCTTCTGAATATATACAGTATCATATTTGGGAATTTGATAGGCTGGAATACTTTGTCTCCCATTTTTGGTTTGAACAAAGTATTGATATCCCCTGGATTGAAGGACTGCTTCTTTATTTTGGAGTTTAGGAGAATCTCTTTGGTTTCTAAGATAATTTGTGTTTCTAAGTACCACTTCTACCCAGGCAATATATACTTGTAGGGACTTAGAGTGTAAATAAATGAAACTTACTTGACTTTTGAGAGTGCACAATCGGAAGCTTGAATTCAACAATGGAAACTTTATTGTAATGATGAAATCCACTTCTACAAAGGCTTTTGAGTACAATGGTTATTTAGAGTGAGTGGGAATAGTAGAAGAACTAAGAGTGAGTGGGAGTAGTAGGAAAACTTAGACAAGTCTATTACAACTTCTGATATTTGCCGATGAGATAAAAGATAAAAATCAATTACAAAGATTTTTAGGATGTTTAAATTATATAGCAGATTTCTTTCCTAAGTTAAGACAAGAATGTTCTATATTATTTAATAGATTAAAGAAAAATCCAAAACCTTGGACAGATGAACATACACAAAAAATAAATATTTAAAAGAAAAAATAGAGTCATTACCATGTTTATGTTTACCTCATCCTAAAGCATTCATGATAGTCGAAACAGATGCATCAGAATTAGGATATGGAGGAATATTAAAACAAAGAATAGATAATTCAAAAGAAGAATTGGTTAGATTTTATTTCCACCAGTGGTTGAACCAAATTGGAAATTCTTTGTTACAACTTTCTTTGAATGTAAAAAACCAGGAATGATTGAATGGTCTAAAAAGTAAAGCACGATACCATGCCATTTTGTAATCTTGGTATGTGAATCCATCTGGAATGAAATTCACTGAAAATGATTTTTCGAATAAAGAGAAGTCCATTCTCCAGGAGAACAAACTTTCTTTATAATACACTTGGAATGACTAATAATGTTTGGATTCTTTTTATCTGGAATGGGGTAAATCTCTACAGATTGAGTATCTGTAAGGATTAATTCATAATAGTCTAGATTTTTTGAAGATCAAACTAATGTAATCAGATTCCTGACCACTGGAGACAAATTAAAGTGGACAGCTACTACCACTACTCAAAAGGAGTCAAGACAGTCAACAATCATTCCAACCACTACACCAGTCACTCCAAAAAGAGACAAAGAAAAAGTGACGGAAATGGCATCGAAGAAACAGCCAGTAACTTTTTGATAAAGCAAATTATGCAGAATCCCGAGATGCTGAAAGAATATCTGAAATATTTACAAAAGCCAAAAGAAGAAGACAAAATAGAGGAACCAGCAGGATCATCCGAATCTACTTTTGATCCTTTTGATGATCCCATCGGTGGACAAATCCAAACGACTTTTGAAAAAGAATGTCGGCCACAACAAATGAAAGCAAAATTGAAATTCAAATAAAATGAAATGCAGAATCGAGCTTCTATAAATAGATTCAAGATTCAGAAGACAGGCATCGGCAAATATCAGAAGTTGTAATAGACTTGTCTAAGTTTTCCTACTACTCCCACTCACTCTTAGTTCTTCTACTATTCCCACTCACTCTAAATAACATTGTACTCAAAAGCCTTTGTAGAAGTGGATTTCATCATTACAATAAAGTTTCCATTGTTGAATTCAAGCTTCCGATTGTGCACTCTCAAAAGTCAAGTAAGTTTCATTTATTTACACTCTAAGTTGTGAGACTATTATATCTCCTTGTCCTATATTTTTTTTATTTCTTGTAATGGAGGATGTATTGATGTTACTATTTGATCATCTTTTAATTTCCATTTTTATATAAATTGGTTTGAATATTTATTTGTGGTGTATTATAAACATCATTTATTTCTATTTTTGAGATATAGAATGATAACCAAGTAAAGAAAGGGAAATCAAATTTTTGTTTTTCTAATTCTTTCTTCCATTCTAAGATTAATTTTTCTTTATATTCAGATTCTAATTGAAAAAATCAAATTCTTTTTTCAGTATTTTCTTCATCATCAAAATCTTCTTGTAAATATTTATGATTTATTTATAACATTTATTTCTCCTTTCATTTGTGAATGTGTGGGGAATATTCTGATTGATTTTGATTTATAACTTCTGGAACAGGAATTTTATATTTAAAAGTTGAATTACTTTAAAGGAAAGTTAATTTCAGTTGATTCATAATTAGAATGTCTAGGTGGTAATCAAGAATAAGTTGAATTAGATCTTTCTCTTATTGAGGAAAATCTTATTAGAGTTTTACCATCAGGTTTTTTATTATATCTTCTGCAGTAGTTTGTTCTATATTTCTAGCTATTTGTGGATTTTGTATCTCAAATTCACTAGGTATAGTTATTTCATTCCATTTTAATCTTTTTGGAGTATAACTAGTAGGTCTATCAGCATCTACTTGTAATAAAGTTGTTTCTTCTTTAAGAGTTGGAGTCATTATAAATTTAGGATTTAAATGTGAAGACAATGGTCTATAATATATTCTATATATTACTGCAAAATTCCTTGTATGTCTTTCAAATTCATTTCCTTATAGATGAATATCTAAAATGACTGAATTCAGAATATGTGGGTCTGTTAGATCTATTGAAAAATTTGGAGCCAGTTAAAATATATGGGTCCATTACAAACATTTGTTTGAATCATGGAAAATAAAGAAGTTTTATATCTTTTGAGTCTAGTATTTCTTAATGCTAGATAAATTGGAGCATCGACTCCTAGATGGAATAAAGGTTTTACTACAATTTGTATTAAACCTATATGAATATATCGATATCCTTTACTTAAATATTTTTGAATTGTACTATGATTTAATAATGGAATTGATTGATATTCTTCTTGAATGGATATTGTTTCTTCATGAGTTTTAAACTGATAATGCTGTTTTGAAATCTAAAGGGCCTATTCTGTATATATGCTCTATTTTTTCTTCTGGAATAGTCCAATCTGAATTTACAGGCATATGATATTCATGACTTTGTACTATATTGTCTTGTTTGAATTATATCCTATTTTTAATTGTCTAAGAAATGCAGCCATGTTTGTATATTTAATTAAAGTTTTACCTAATCAGGAACAACTGAGCACTATGCCGGAACATCCTACCCTGGACTTACCAACGGTCTAACAAGGTATCAAAGTCTTACCAATGATTTCAGTAAAAGTTTAATAAAATATGTAAACATAAATGTATGAATTAGCCAAGTCAAAATAGAAACGTAATTCAAATAAAGAAATAGTAGTTCAAAATCTTAAATATGCATTTGCATGTAAGTCTGTGTGGCTCTGATACCATTCTACCCAGGCTGCTGAATTTATTGAATAGTTCATAAAAATTCAGTATAAAATTGGACTTACAAAATAATAGGAAAGTCTTTGTCAACGGAAGCTTGTAGAAATTGTTGAATCCTTGCTACTTCTTTATTGATGTTTTGAAAAGGTTACAAGAAGCTTGAGTACAGAGTAGGTAGAGGAAGTTTGGGATTTTGCTAAGGAATTTTCTAAGAGCAAAGTTTTTTGTTCTGCTAATTCCTGATGCCTTTGCTATCTGAGATTGAATCTATTTATAGACTCTTCCAGTCTGTACATTTCATCTGCATTTGAATTTCATTTGCTTTCTTTGCAATGTGGCCGACATCTTTGAGTAAGTGGTTGATATCTTTTTCAAAAGTAATTTGGGTCTTGTCCGCATGGTCCCCAAACGGATCAAAATTTGATTCGGATGATCCTGCTGACTCTTCAATTTTGTCGTTTCTTCATCTTTATCTTGCTTTTGTAAATAATCTAAATATTCTCTGAGCATTCGAAATTTTGCATCATCTTTTTCATCAAAAAGTGTTGTAGTGTCTCGGATGCTATACTGGTAACTTTTTCTTTATCTCTTCTTTTTTGGAGTGGTTGGAGTTGTGGCATGTTTGTTGGAGTAGGTGACATAGTTGTTGGCTATTTTGTCCACTTGAACTTGTCCCCTTGTTAGGAATCTTATCACATTTGCTTGGTCTCCATATTCTTGATTGAATCCTGTCCAATTTAATCTTGAATTCTCTGACTAGTGACATTGGAAGTGGTTTTTTAGATCTTGATGAATTTGAAGTTTCAGCAAAAATATCCATGGTATTTTGAACTCCATATGAAATATATTGGTCTTGTATATTCCCCCTTGCTTTTTTGAGATAGGTTTGAAATCCCATCAGAACATTTGGAGGTAGGATTTCGGGTTGAGGATCAAACATTTCACCAGTGGCTTGAATCAAATTGGAAATTCTTGCTGCAACTTTCTTTGAATGTAAAAAATCATGAATGATTGAATGGTCTATACAAAAAGCACGATACCATGCATTTTGTAGTCTTGATAGGTAAATCCATCTGGAATAAATCTGACTGAGAAGAATTTCTTTGAATAAAGAGAAGTCCATTCATTGAGAGAACAAACTTTCTTTATTATACCTTTGAGTGGCTAATAATATTGGGTTCTTTTTATCTGGAATAGGGAATATTTCTACAGATTGGGTATCTGTAAGAATTAATTCATAATAATCCAAATTTTTGAGGGATCATCTGGTTGCCAATAACATTTTTGAGAAAAGATTCTTGAACAGTCTGGTTGAGTGTTTGAATATAATGGGGTTTCTTGAATTAGTCAAAGTTATATGTTGAGTAATGGTTTTGTAAAATAGGTATTTTCATTGGATTTTTCAATAGGTTTTTGAGTTTGTTGAAGGAGTCTTATTGGAGGGAAAGTTGGAGTACGAGTAGCTTGACTATAAGTCAAAGCTGAAAAGTCTTGTAATATTTGGAATCTATTTGGAGATACAGGTGTAAGACTCATCTCATAATCTTGAGGAGTCATTGGTCTGGAATTTCCTGCATTTGAATCCATAATCCTGCAAAATTAATAAACAACATCTTTAAGCTGATTAGATAATTGTTTATTTTGCTCTTTATAATAGTTGCTGAATTTCTTCACTTCTCTCTGTCCTTCGCAGAACTTGAATTCTAATAGTATTTCTCTGAATCTCTCTTTGAATGAGAAAAGCTCTCTCTTTTGGAGTAAGGGTCACATAATTGCTCTTCTGAATATATACAGTATCATATTTGGGAATTTGATAGGCTGGAATACTTTGTCTCCCATTTTTGGTTTGAACAAAGTATTGATATCCCCTGGATTGAAGGACTGCTTCTTTATTTTGGAGTTTAGGAGAATCTCTTTGGTTTCTAAGATAATTTGTGTTTCTAAGTACCACTTCTACCCAGCAATATATACTTGTAATAAGTATAAAGATTTGGACTTACAATGAAATTGAAGAGTAGACAACGGAAGCTTTGAGCAAAGTTAAATCCTTGGTTCTTTTATTGAATAAGCTTGACAATAGCTAGAATACAGGAGTTGTTTGAAGTAGGTGAGAGTAGGTTTGAAGTAAGTGAGAGTAGGTAGGAGGTTTGTACTTCAAGATGTAAACTGAAATTTTTCTCTGATCTATTCGCCGATGCCTTCATTCTGCAATCTTCCTTCAATTTATAGAGGCTCGGGACTTTGTCATTTGAATTTCATTTCTTCTTCATTTGAGTTTCATCTTTTTTTATTGGTGGCCACATCTTTTTCAAAAGTGATTGACCTCTTTTTCAAAAGTCGTTTGGATCTTGTCCGCATGGTCCTCCGAATGGATCAAAAGTAGATTCGAATGATTCTGCCGACTCGTCAATTTTGTCGGTTTTTCTTTCTTATCCTGCTTTTGTAAATAATCCAGATATTCTTTGAGTAGCCTTGGATCTTGCATCATCTTTTCATCAAAAAGTCATTTGAATTTGTCTCGGATACCATTTCGGTATCTTTTTCTTTTTCTTTCTTTATTGGAGTAGTGGTTGGAGTTGGTGCCGTAGTGGTTAGAGTTGGTGAAGACTTTGTTGTAGTGGGTATAAAAGTTGTTGGAGTAGATATTGGTTTGGTCCATTTGAGTTTATCTCCGGTAGTTAGAAATCTGATGACATTTGCTTGATCTCCGAATTCTTGATTGAATCCTGTCCACCATTTAACTTTGAATTCTCTGACTAATGATATCGGAAGTGGTTTTTCAAGTTCTTGATAAATTTTGAAACTCCAGCAAAATATCTACGAAACTTTGAACTCCATATTATTGAAAAATCACTTCCAATGTCATTAGTCAGAGAATTCAAAATTAAATGGTGGACAGGATTCAATCAAGAATTCGGAGATCAAGCAAATGTCATCAGATTTCTAACTACCGGAGATAAACTCAAATGGACCAAACCAATATCTACTCCAACAACTTTTGTACCCA